AAACTTGAAGAGATTTTAGTATTTTTCGTTGAAAAAGTAAGTACTACTTCAATTATAACATATTCTTTATTTATTTGAGTATGCGTAATGGTAAAATTGTTTTCTAAACCTTTCAAAGTGGGCCGAGGATATCATTGTACACCAGCAGAACGCAACATTATTTTGAAACACTATAGAGAGGGTAAATCTTACTCATATATACAAAATATTCTCGGATGTTCAGCAAAGATGATTTCAAATGCCATAAATTATATAGCAAAAGTTGAAAAACGAGGGGGGAAACGTAAGACTACCGCGCAAGAAGACCGAAGAATTGTTAGATTTGTTAAAAGCAAACCATTTTCATCGGCCAAGCAAGTCAAAGATGATCTTGACCTACAGGTGAGTGAAACAACAGTTCGTAGACGCTTACGAGAGAAAAGTTTGTATGCACACAGTCCACGAAAGGTCCCTTTGTTGACAAAAAAACACACCGCTAAACGTTTGCAGTTCGCAAACCAACATCTGAATTGGCCCATCGAAAAGTGGCGCAACATATTATGGACTGATGAATCAAAAATAGTTCTTTATGGAGGTACAGGTTCAAGACAATATGTAAGACGTCCATCTAATACAGAATTCCAGCAAAAATATACCATTAAGTCTGTAAAACATGGTGGAGCCAAAGTCATGGTATGGGGCTGTTTCTCATATAATGGTGTCGGACCTATTTATAAGATTAATGGTATTATGGACCAACATATATATGTCGATATCCTCAATAATGTCATGCTGCCTTATGCTAATGAAGATATGCCGTTAAAATGGGTCTTTCAACAAGACAACGACCCAAAACACACTAGTCACAAGGCAAAAGAGTGGTTTCAGGTCAATGGGGTTGAGGTTATGGAGTGGCCTGCTCAGTCACCTGACCTAAACCCCATTGAAAACTTATGGGGAGACGTTAAAAAAGCAGTTTCTACTGCTAATCCAACTAATGCTCAGCAGTTATGGGAAGCTATTCAACAAGGATGGTACGCAATACCAGCAGAAAAATGTCAATGCCTAGTTCACTCAATGCATCGGCATTGTGAAGCCGTTATCTCAAACAAAGGTTTTGCAACGAAATACTAAGGGTAAATATTGTTATATTAGACTTATTTTTAACTTTATAATGTTCAAAAGTTTGCAATTTTAATGTTTAATACCATAAAAAATAATTTTTTTTCTATTTTCAGATACCACTGCTATTTCAATGACTGCGAGCTTTCTTGATATTATTGTTTTTTTTTCTGAAATAAAATGTAAAACTATTATTGATGTAATTTTTTTTTGTTTTATTAGATTGTCAAAGTGTCAAAATAAATGCAATAAATTTTTTTCAGTAATAAGTAAAAAAAAATTGCGCAATAGTTTTCAAAATATTCCAGGTACTGCTATTTTCATGCTCACAACTGTATGTACCACTATATCTACTAATTCCTAATATGACCATTAGGTGTGTGAAATCTTTGCTGTATATTCCATAATTCCTAGCTTTCCGGAAACGTAAAATTTGGATCTAGGTCAGTTTATTCCATGCTGCCCTCTATTTCTATACCTATTCAGCTATTTATTTATCTGTTTCTTTACTTATAATATACTTTAATGTTTTTTTACTAATCAGTAAATAATAGTTCATTAAAAAAAAAAAAAAAAAAATATGCAAATTTTTTTGGCTTAAAGCTTGTTAGAACTCGCACACAGTTTATTTCAAAAAAAAAAATCTTCTACAACAGCATCAGGAGGTTAGTATCCTCTGTACCAACCTCCTGATGCTGTTGTAGGAGGCTGATAAGCATACTTTATTGGTTTATTCAATCTTGCCGCTTTTTTAAATACAAAACAAAACAGACTTAAAAAAGACATAAAATTTGTAAAAGGTACTTTATATTATACATATATTATACATGATTGTTTCATACACAATCGCAAACTCAACTTAACAACTGAGGTTTACACTTACAGACGTTTGTACATAATGCTATACAAATGGAATTTTTACATTAAATGTAAATGACATATTATTATCAATTTACATAAGTTACATATTTACATAAATGTTTTACACTTTGTATAAAAAAATTGACTTTTTCTTACCATTAACTCAGCTTTAATGGCTGTAAGGAGTTTGATCCAAGTCAAACTCTTTGAAACTTAAGTGGGCACTACTACTACTATTGAGTTCAGCATTATTATATAGAGAAGACCATTAGGTAAGATGTGTAAATCTTTGCTGTATAATTTATAATGTTAAGTTCAACTAAGGCTAGCGCAAGGAGTGAATATAACCCACAATAATATGGGAAGTACCAGTCATACATCAAAGAGCTCAAAATGGATTAGACAACTGTATATGGAGAATATTTGACAATAGATTTTACCAACTCACAAGGATTGTCACAAAGCAGAGTCAGTCTCGTATGAGACCAACTGTTAGCCAATACAGCCATACCTCAGAGAATCCATGAAGGATAAAACAACCACACATGGGTAAATCTCTGATCTATGACTCAAAGTTAAATCTCTCTAAAACAAACCTGAAACTAACATTTCATTGTGTGGCTCATATAGTGTTTTGTAAGACAATATAAAATGGATGTGATGTTAGAAATGGTAATAAAAATATAGTAAAATGAAACAGTTGTGCAGTTAGGAGAATGGAGAAACATAAAAAGTTTTCAAAATGGGTAGGTGTATGGGCAAAGATATATATATATATATATATATATATATATATATATATATATATATATATATATATATATATATATATATATATATATATATATATATATATATATATATAAGTTCTGGTCTTTTTTGGTTGATAGCCAAAAAAAGTCATTACCAAATGATCCATGAAAAAATATTTGTATGTATGGAATTTCTTATATATAATGGATCATAATCGACCGTGTATGCTTATAAATACAGTGGAAAAATGTAAAGTAAAAAAAAAGTAAACAAGTATGTACTCTGAGTGTATAAAATCGGATATAAAAATTCAGCGAAAAGAAAAGTCTCGAAGAGAATCATTGGGATCAATCGAGATCAGTACCAGTAAGAGAAACATCAAAAATAAGTAGTAAATAAATTGTTTTACAGTAAATCTATTACAATCATAATTATTATATATAATATGAGCATCGGTAATAATTATGCATTCAAACTTATGAGATTACATAAAAAAAAAAGTAAAAACTCAAATGAATTTGAACCTCATGCAAACAGAATATTAGCTCAACTACTCATCTAATGGTGCTAAACATGCAGCGAATAGCAAAAGTAATCAAAATCAAATGATGCATAAGAACCTAAGATGAGTAGAATATGCATAAGTTTATGCAAGTCGACATTATAAATTTTGATTATAAGTTTAATGTACAATATTTTATAACTATCAAATTAAAAACATGAAGTACATATATTTTTGCCTGTTTTATACAATTAACATTTAACAAAAATACAGACAAATTATTATTAATTAACGCAATCATTAACAAAACAATTAATGGCAATAAATCAAAATAGATGGTAATTTAAATTGTCAAAATGTCGTAACGCACGTTAAAAAACATATTATATTTGGTATTTCCCAATTTATATGTCGTATTTGGCATTTGTCTCAAGGAACATAAAACATGGAAAATAAAAAACTAATAAAATTGACAAATACAAGTTTATAAAAAACTAATAAAATTGACAAAAAAAATATTCTATACAACTCTTATTCATTTAAAGTTTAAGCATTGGTATAATATTCAGATAATATTGTTTGAACTTTCCTATCAATCATTGTAAATTCAATAGAACAATTCACTTCAATAGAAGAACCACAAACCTCTAATAAAATCATATCCAGGTTTATGTGAAACTGATAACAAAATAGCTGTTAAGAACACAATAATATTGTTAATGAAGACTTTATAGTGTTAGCAATAAGCAAGTAAATTAGCAACGTCAAATGAAACAAATTATCTTAGCAATTCGATTGGGTAAAAATACACTTCAGGGAATTGTATGCTATTTTATATTTTTTATTTTATATTATATTTTATATTCATATTTATGGCTATTTTATATATTTAGAACTTTAACACTTAATGGAGTAATTAAATATTTCAATTACAGTATAGATGCTTATGAAATGATGACTAAATGAGGAATACATAAAATATAAATTAAAAATAAGTGAAGTGATATTAGTAACTGTTAATGTCTACAGATGTGATAGTATTGGCTTGTTCTGTCTAGTCATCTTATAGGCTAGCACGTGAGAGCTAGATTTAAGATCTCTATAATGGATTTCAATTGATCATATGTACACATTAGTCTCCATAGGAAACTTTCTTTAAAATTTTTTTTTCTTTAATTATTAAACAATCTGTCTGCCCTAACCAAACCCTCAGTCGATGTAGTGACACTTTATCGTAGCAGTAGGCTATAAGATAGTCAATGTAACAACACTTGCTTGCAGCAGCCGGCTATAAGATATATATGCTACATCGACTGATGTAACAACACTTGCTTGTAGCAGCAGACTATAAGATAGTTGATGTAGCAACACTCGGCGCATGTCTTACAGTAAAAAAATAAAAATATTCAGAATGTTTTTAAAAACATTTTAGTCTTTTAATTAACGTTTTTGTAATTAAAAAAAAAAAATTTAATTTAATTCGTTTTTCAATTAAACTAATGTGTTTTGTTGTAATCTAACTTTAATTTTGTCAGTTTAAATAGCCTTTACTATAGGTGTATATATATATATATATATATATATATATATATATATATATATATATATATATATATATATATATATATATATATATATATATATATATATATATATATATATATATATAATTTGTATATAAAGAATATATATCTTTATATATATAAAGGTATATATTTTTAGCTAAAAATTGATTTTGATTCACCAATGTGTATACATGTATAATACAAGTATATCAAATTACTTGAAAGCCTTTTGTTTGCAGCTGAGTTTTAGAGAACTTTAAGACACCATTATAATCTGGAGGCTTTTCAGAGGATTTCGGTTTCTTTTGAAACTCTTCAGATTCAAGTACCTAAAAATGCAATAAATTGCTACATTATTCATTTTTAATAAACTTTTAAACACTTATTTTAACTTATTTTACATTATCCACATTAACACCAATTTATTTCAACTTTTTTAATATATTTATATCATTATTATATATATAATACAATTTATATAAAATTATATTATATATAAATTATATTATATATAAATTATATTATATACAATTATGCATAAAATAATTTCAGATTACTTAATTTGAGGGATAAATTTTGGATACACAAATATACAATATAAATTTTGGATACACAACAACATTTGCATTTATTTTTTTCACGAGCATTTAACTTTGTGTACACCTGAATGAGAATTTATAGAAAGAGTGTTTTTTTATTTATTTATGTTGTAATGTTCTGTAAACCAACTCTTATGAAAACTTTTCTCAAATTTGTTTCATAGTGTAAAATGTAAATAAATTACATCCAGCATTAACATAATAATTTTCACATCATTACTACAATAAAATTTTTACTACAATAAAATTGTATTCTAGAGATTATTCATATTACTTATTTTAGAAAAGAATCTTTGAATAATTAGGAAAGATACTAATATCTTTGAATAATTAGGAAAGATACTAATATCTTTGAATAATTAGGAAAGATACTAATATCTTTGAATAATTAGGAAAGATACTAATATCTTTGCATAATTAGGAAAGATACTAATATCTTTGCATAATTAAGTTAAGAAAGATGCTAAAATCTTTGCATTATTAAGTTAAGAAAAATACAAACACTTTAGCATAATTAGTGATATATTTACTTTTGTAAATATAACTTTTGCAAATATAACTATTTTAGTATACTTAAGAGTCATTTTTGTGAGAATCAGGCAGTAAGTGGAAGTGACCTCTCCTTGCTTGAAATTTTTATATATTGATCAAAATACAGAGAAAACCTGTTGGGGAAAAAAAAGTTTTCAAAAATGTTTTGCTTTTCAAAATGTCTTAACTTTATTTTAACGATCTTTAAAATTTGCACAAACAGAGTAGATATTTTATCATTGTTATTGAGAAAGAGGGGCTGCATAAATAGAACTTGTTTTTAGGTAAGTATGGAACAAAAAAAAACTTTTTATGAAAACTGTTGTTGCTTTCAAAAGGAAATTGTGAATCATTCAAAAAACAAAAAATTATAAACAATATGTTCTACATTCATCAGCTGGGAGATGTTAATGTCAAGAAACACCTCATTAACTTAAGGGTAATTATGTGTTTTAAATGTACGCAGACTGTAATATAATTTTTATAATTACATACTTTACAACTACTCTGCAGTAAGATTTTGAGACAAAGCTCTTTGAACAAAAAAATTAGCTATTTTAATTATGTCTTTTAATAAACAATCACTAAACTAATCACACTCTTGCAATATTCTAATTAATACAACTATTTTAATTCTATTTTAAGCTTATTTTTAAAATTTAACAACAATATATTTCAAACTTGTGAACATTTTTTGTGAATATTAAGAATAAGATTATAAACAATACTTTAAATGACACTAATAATTGTTTAAAAAATTGTTTTTAGGTCATGCGATCCAACGATAATGTTTGGGAAGAGAATGGACTAATTGCAAATAGGCTTAAACGAAGTCTTGAAAAGGATGAACAAATATGTGCTTTTCACCTGTATACCTTTAGTGTTGCAAGGAGTCCTCCAAAAACATCATTTCATCATCACCATCTAAATATAAAAAGAAAAAAATCTCCCGCTTTAAGGAGGCCACCAACACATGTCGTCTTATTAATGTCAAAGTGATTTAATGGAATATTTTCAGTTGGTGTTCAGTCTGTGTTTTACTCATTTAAAACGAGAAACTGTTTTTTCTATAGTTGATGAAAACACCAATTTATGTACAGAAACACACACACAACAAGAACAAACATATTTGACACCTGCTACTCCAGATAAAGAATTTGACTCCGGTGAAACTAATGTTTCACAAAAAATTTTGGATGAATCTCTTAGAAGCCATGAGAATGTAACCAAGGTTCTTAATGCAAGTCCAATAAAATATAGATTAAAAAAGTTTGTGAAAGCTGTAGCTCCTGGACAAGAGGAAGTACAGACTTTCTTAACAGTAAAAATGTTGATGAAATAAATAACCCTCTCAAGTCAAAAAAGCATAGCTGAATTAGATAATGTCACTGCTTCAGGTATGAATGGTTTTCAAACATTACAAAAATTGTCATGAAGATTTAATTCTAAATCTCTTGAAGCTACCCTTGAGAAAGAAAAAAGGTATCTGAAAACAAGTGATCAAACCAATTGTAGTGTCAAATACTTAAACATTTCTTCTCATAGCTCAAAACATGCTTTATCAGATCCATCTGAAAATTTATGATTTGGAAATTGCTGTAAAGGAATTATTCAACTACATAAAACAAATGATTAGAGATTCTCAACAGAAAAAGGCAAAAAATTAAGCTTTTAAGCAATTTATCAATGAAACTGCTTTCTGGCTTAAAGATTTTTGTCAAAAAATGTTGCGCTAATACTTTTAGGTATCTATACAATTAACTCTGGGAACAGAGTTAATTGTATGAATAATGGACAAGAGAAGAATAGTTTTTGCTGGCCAGTTACTCCCGAAGAGATAAACTACCAAACTGAACAAATTATCTGTTTAGAAGATGCTCCTTTTCTAATCAATGGTTGTGGCAATTTTTCATTATCCAAAGAAGACTATAATATAGTCAAATGACTATTCTTGTGTGATTTGGTGGATAATTTGTTTCTTGAGTGTAAATGACTGTATTTCTGAATGAACTACTAATTTTCAAATTGAACTACATTTAAATGTTTGATTTATGTTTCATTTAATATAGTTTTCATGCTGTTCAATTTTTGTTCAGTTTTTAATTCATGTTATATCATGTGTGTGACAAAATCACAAGTTTTTTTAATTATTATGTTAGGACCATGTTGTATTGACATTTGGACATAATTACATTTTTACAAAACTTAACGCTTCTGCCGTAATGGGTCATTTTGTAAGTATACTATAACACTTTTTTTCAATTTCAAGCCCTAATATATGAATAGGCCTTAGGTAACACATAACTTTCTTTGCATTTTTAGACTCAATACCTTCAATACTTACAAATCCTGAAAGAAAAAATGTGTGCAACACTTCGTTGTTAAAAATAACTCCTATTAAAAATTGACAAAACTAAATTATTTTGTACTTTTGAACTATGATAATTAGCCAACCACACAGGGTCACGCAACTTTTTTAATATTTTTTGGAGAGATCTTTTGGGTTACATCTGATATTAACTGCAAAAGTCATGTGCAACTCTTTGCCTTGCCAAAAAAATGGATTCAAAGGTGACAAAAACTAAATTTCTAAAAATTTTTCAAAAAATCTCAAAATTTTAAACCCAGATTTAGAGTTAACGAAACATTTTTTTCAAAATTTTTTCCCCAACAGGTTTTCTCTATATTCTGATCAATATAAAAAATTCAAACATTTTGGAGGAGGTCACTTCCACAATTTCAGGAACTTGCCTATATTCTTACAAAAAACGGCTTATAATTTTAGTATTTTATATTTTATTATTTACTTTTGCAAATACAACTTTAATTATGCAAAATTATTTGTATCGTTTCTCCTCCAAAAATGAAGAGAAATATTTTAAAACAACTTATATTACAATGCAATCCCTTGTGCAACAATTTTTTTTAAAAAGGTCTGGTATAGTGGACTAGGCCATTAACATTATTATTATTTTTTTTTTTTTGTTGTCTACTCAAATCAGTGTTAGACATAATATTGGGAATTTATATCATTGTTGTTCACTACACCATTCCCTTCCTTTTTGTACCCTTCAACCCAATTAACTAGTTTTATACAATTTCTAAAGGAAAACTTGAACATTCTGACTTAGAATCCTCTGGTGTAAATTAGAGATATAAAGTATACAAAATTTGTTCTATTGATTCTACAACAGCTTAACTATGACAAGTAGCTCAGTAATTGGGTTGTAGGGGACAAAGAGGAAAAGTAGGGTAGAGGGACAATAATATAAATTTTCAATGTCATATGAATGCTGTACAAAATTTATTCCTAAACAGCATCTTTATAATTTAAGTGAAATGTTAACAGTGCTACGAACATCTATTAAAAATTGACTTGAACTTAAAAATAAAACAAAAAAAATTTAAAAATAAACCTACATTGTTAAAGGGACTACCAAGTCCCAAGACATGTTGTGTTCATATTTAAGGGAATGTTAAAAAAAAACGTCTTAGCAAATATTTTTTGGTTAAAACTAATTAATAAATGTATACCAAGAAAAACAAATCTTGCTGTTTTAGTCAAAGCTCTTCTTCTCCATTTTCTCTGGTATTTTAAGTATGTAAAATAAACGCGATTTTCCAGGCGCATTATACAGACTTGATAATTTATTCAAGCGCGTTTAATTCATAGGAGTTTTAGTGCATGACGTCATATATTTTTTTGTTTGTTTGTTTAAAACACCAATTGTTATTTTTTACATACAATTTCCAAATCATATTCATTTTTATTATATTTTAAAGTTCTAAAATGTGTATGTAAAACAAAATTAAAAACAAAATAAAATTAAAGACAAAATAAAATTAAAAACAAAATAAAATAAAAAACAAAAAATAAAAAAAAAAACAGTATTTTATTTGCGCAACATTTTTTTAAATAATCGTCTAGACCACGTGTATTTTGATTTCTTTTGTTATAAGTTTTTCTTTCAAAATATTAGATAAAATAATTTTTAACCTAAATAATAATGCATTTTTATTAATTTACTTTGTAAATATTAAAAAAAAAATTATTAACGCATTTTTTCTCTGATTTTCAAAAATATATTTTTTGGTATTGAGGTGATCTTATTTCATTATTTATATTTCCATTATAACATCCAATATATATTATGGCGGGGGCTTAAAAATTAAAAAATTAATATATATTAATTTTTAATTTACAGACATACATGGAAACATAATTAACTTTAATGTTCTTAAAACATCTTGCAGAAGAATAAAAAGAATATTCGCGAACACTAAAAACCCGCCAAATTTGCGAACAAACTAATTCTATTGGTTCAAAAAACACGCTGACTAAGCAAAATAAAGTTCTAGAGTATTCTGTTGAAATGTTTTAGGAGTTGTATTATTTACGATTTGTTGCGTTTTGAGATATCTAGCATAAATTATTTTAAGAATATATTATCAAATGAACTATTACTTTAATATTATGGCTCATTCTCGGAGCCACATCTGTAAAGCTGTAAAACTTTTAAACTATTATCATTTGTTTACAAAAATAAATGTTTTATAATATATATTTTTTAAATTGTCAAAATTTTGAAAGTTAATTACAAATTATATATTTTATTAGTATATTCTTAATTTTTATATCTTTTCTTAGTGCTTGGTTTAATTAATTGTTCGTTAGATTTGTTAAAAACTAACGAACAATTAATAAAATAAACTTTTAATAAAATAAGTAACTATAGTTAGCTATTTGAGTAAAATTTAATAGTAAAATTTTTAAAGAATTTCTAGAATGTTTCCAATGACATCATGCTCTAAAACTCCTATGAATTAAACGCGCTTGAATAAATTATCAAGTCTATAGCGCCTGGAAAATCGCGTTTATTTTACATACTCAAAATACCTTAAAAAACAGAGAAGACGAGTTTCGACTAAAACAACAAGATTTGTTTTTCTTGGTATACATTTATTAATTAGTTTCAATCAAAAAAAATTTGCTCAGACGTTTTTTTTTTAAATTCTCTTTAATATGAACACAACATGTCTCGGGACTTTAAGTTTTAACCTATGTTTTATATGTAAAGGGAATGTGTGTATATTTTTTATTTAAATCAATTTGACTTTTTTTTTTACAAAAAGGTGAGCACAATTTTTAGGCCCAAATTTATCCTTTGGGCCTAAAAATTGTGCATCATGGATGCTTAAAACTAACTTCATGAAGATAACTATTTTATAACTATTTTGTGTAATGTGTTAACTAATTTAGATATCAAGTAAACAAAATATGAACTTTATATACTCTATTTTAGTATACTTAATTTTAGTATGCAGCTGTTGTGGTATTCAAAACCAATCCTTTTTTGTCACTCTTTTTCTTGAACCTTTTTTTTAATTCTTGAAAAACTGAGTAAATAATTCATAATTTGTCATTTTGAATCCTTTTTTTTTTTACTAGCTTTACTTTCCTTTTTTATAGTTTTTTTATTTACTGTTCTCTTAGCAGTTCACCTTTTTAAACCTTTATTTAGAGTAAAAATATCTGTTTATCTTTTTTCTTCTATGATTCCTTCATTTGCTAAGCAATGTCTTAACAGAGACCTCTTTGACTATTCTTACTCTAATTTTAGGAGAAAGAGAATATTGTTGAAATTCTTATAACATTTTTTTTTCAAATTAAAATTTTAATATTTATAAATAAAACATAACTTTATATTTAAAAAAAAAATATTTATAAATAAAACCTCCAGAATAAATGAAGCTGTTGGTATGTAAAGGTTAGTTTTCTCTGATATTAAATTTAATGATTCAATGCATTTAAAGCGGATTGGATAGTATCTAGAAGATGGTATCAACCTACACATTTAAATAAAAAATTTATTTATTTGTACTGAAAAAAGTTAAAAAAGCAACATTTATTTAAATATATAAAAATAGAAGGAAAAAAACAACAACATTTAAACAACTTTTATTCAGAAGTTTGTGTTTTCATTAGCGAGTAATATTAATAATTCATTTATTAAAATAATCATCAAGACAATTATATAAAAAATTATTAGTAGTATTATTGATTAAACTTAAATAATTAAATGTTAAAAGATAAAAATAAACTGGAATGTATTGAAGCCAAAAGCATTCTTACAAAGACACAGTAAAATTATTTTTAAAATGAACAATTAAAAAAAAAAAGTTGAGGCGGATTTAAAATAAATAAATTTCTGAAAATCTAGTGTAACAGAAAATAATATTATAACATGCTAATTTTAGAATCAAACAGAAAATTTAAAGATAAATATGAATATATCAGAATTTAACTAAATCAAACCACTATCTGAATTGAATGTCTGAATGAATGAATTAAATATATAAATGAAAAAAAAAAACACTTGCCTTTTTTTTTTAAACTTTATATATATCATATATTTTACATAAATTATTTATATTTTTAAAACATTAATTATATTTTTATATTTACTAAGCTTCTAAAAAAACTTTTTAAATGTTATTAAAGCCATATAAACTCAAACTACAAATCTTGACAAACTAAACAACTATGCAGACAAATATAATAAATGCAATTAACCAATCAAAACTATGTAGAAAAATATATTAAATGCAATTAACCTATCAAAACTATGCAGACAAATATATTAAATACAATTATCTAAACTATTACAACAACAGAGTGTATATATTTTTAAATTCAGAAAAGAATGATGGCAGAAGAAACTTATTTTTATTTTTATACTTGGTTAGACTTAAATAGAGTTTGGCAAGTTTTTCTTTATAGTTTATTTTTTATTTTTAGTTCATAACTTTGATTAGAATGATTTTATTTTTTATTTTTTACATTAAGATGTATCCACAGTAGCAGCTGTTACTTCTGTAATTTCTAAGTTTTTTTTATACCCTGTGAAATTCACAATCATTAAAAAATTAAGTCCTGTTATATTTTTTAATAATCAAATGATATAATATAGTATTTCTCTTTCTACTTCATTGTGAATGAAAACAACAGTGTAGCTGGAAAAAGACAATCTCAGTATATATTTCAAAAATTTATTTTTTATATGTAAGAATTCAACTTTGGGTTGTGAGAATAACAATATATGAACAATTAGTTCCTTTATTTTAAATAAGTTTACACAATTTTATAGCATCGTTCTAAATAACAATAATGCTCAAAAGTCTTACTGTAAACTTTGCATTAAGATTCTCATAGAAGAAAAAAATACAGCTAAACATTAACAAGATGATTTCGAAGTTAACAGCCTACAGGCTGATTTAGTGAACAGCCTACGGGCTGATTTAGTGTGTTTAACAAAAAAAAAAAAGAGTGAGACAACTTACTTATGGTCATCTTATAAAAAGAATCTCTTAATGGAATATACACTGTTTAAAAATTATTTCCTATATAGCAATTGAAAAAGTTAAAAACAAATGGCTAACAAGTTAAATTGTGCTCAAATGCACATTGGAAAATCGCTTATGAAATAAACTAACATAAAAACTTTGAAAAACAAAAATAGAAAGTTTAAAAAAACTACTTTACATTTACAAAATGCCAAAAGCTTTGTGAAAAATATAAATTTTATGCTTTTATCTTAGATGATAAACCTTTTTTTTTTATTCAGAATATAAGATAGAATCAAAGCTAAAAACATAACCTTAAAAAATATGACATGAATAAAAACTGTCAAAATTTAAAAATGAATAAATAGTAATTTAAATATATATTATTATTATTATAAACAAATAATAAACAATATGAATTATAATATTTAAATGAATATAAGAGATATAAGACCTATCACAACCTGTTTTATAGATCGCTTATTGCTTGTAATAACAATAACAAGTATTTTAACCAGAGCAGAAATTGAAAAAAAGGGCAGATATAGAGAATACTATATTAACAAAAATTAAAGAACACACAAGTAATGTGAAAAGAAAAATGACAACTATTTTTTAAATTGTTTTACACATAACCTATAAGATAGTAGAACTGGAATTGTTATTATTTTTTTCAACTGAAAAAAACTGTTATAATTCCTTAAACTTTGTTAATTAAAAATTTTTTAAGCTTTGTTTATAAAATAATTTTTTTACCAAATTATATATACACACTAAATTCCATACTTAATATGTGCCAATTCAAAAAATTAAAAAAGAAAAGTAATTAAGATTAGCATATAAAATCAATAAAATGGATCAAAATTAATTCAATATAAAAAGTTGCGGGGCAAAAGAAAAATAAAATAGCTAAGTGAAAAAAATTCTAACCTAAAATGTCAAGATGTGTTTTTAAAGTTTTTTAAAAGATCAGCATCAGGTCGACAAAATAATTTTTTTTTGCTAGACCTCATACACTTTTAGATCAACAGTTAGGTCAACAGTTCGGCCAACCCTGTTTCTGAGGGCTGATTATGTGACAGTTAATTATCAACTTGTTTATTGTTAAAAAATGTTTGAGATAAAAAAAACAACCTTTTGCTGACTTGTTTATTCATATTTCCATGAGCAGAATGCTTTAGTACTTTTTTTTTGCAAGCAAGTAAAGTTTGTAGGTAAAATAAACAAAAGTTATAAATATATTTCATAAGCAACTTATTTTATAAAATAAACAAATGTCATCTGATATTTTATATAAAATGCTTTAAACCTTTATTTTTTTACAACTGCGTGATGGGTTGATTATAAATAACAAAAAAATCAGTTTTCTTCTGATTTTTTGAAAAATTCAGTAATGGCTGCCACTTCTTTTTAACTACTCATCACTTAAAAATTACAGCAAAATGATGGCAGTAATTAAAATAAAAATTTTAAATAAAAAATTGTAAACAAATATATTTAAAAAACTTCTTTTAAAATAATAATTTTCCAGAAACTTAAAACAAAACTCCATAAATTTAAATATAAATCCTAAAAAAAACGCAATTACCTTATTACTCCAATTATAATTTGTACAACTGGATATATCAATGGTTTTAGAGTATCACTGCTACCAGCACCACCAAGCTCACTAACAACTTGTGCCCACAACTGCAAACAACTTATAAACTGCCAATTGTAAACTGATTGAATTGAATCCTGATCAAAATGTTAATAAAAATAGTAAATTATTTTTATTAAAAATAATATTATAAATAATAATTATTTTTATTAAAAATATTTTTAAATAGTAATTTATATATTTTATTAATAGTAATTAGTTAATATTTATTTTACAAAACTTGCAATAATACTTTAAGTGAAAAAACAAAAACAATCATTATTAAATTATTTCACATAAAAAAGAAAAGTCCTACTTTTTCCTTCATTGTAACTGCATTTCGCAAATGAATAGCAAGCTGTCGAATGTAAACAAAAGCATGTCTGTATGTAGCATTTTCATTTAATGCAAACATTTCAACCAAAGAATTGCGCATAAACATTATCAGTGGTTGGGTTTTTGGAGTAATGAACTTTGAATTGCGGACAAAATTGAGGTACATTTTCTAAAATAAATAGGTACATTTTCTAAAATAAAGAGTAAATATATATATATATATATATATATATATATATATATATATATATATATATATATATATATATATATAAAATATATAAATATATATATATATATATATATATATATATATATATATATATATATATATATATATATATATATATATATATATATATATATATATATATATATATATATATAATTTTCAACTTTACTTATCAGCTACAAGACTTTGTTACTGGAAATACAAATTTTGTTTCTTGATTCTATTTTGCCAAAAATTTAATTTAATTTCTATAAAAAAATGTATTTTGTTTATTTTTATTTTTTAATATCTTATACTGCTGATTTAGGTGAGCAGTGTGACATCATACTGAAATAGCCTTCTGCCAAGGGCTTCAGTACATACATCGACTGACAAATAGCCTGACTCACAGTGGAGTGCTGCTAGATCAACTGAGGGTTTGTCATGGGGCAGCAATCTTTTCACTCATTATTCTTCATTTTCTAAAAAAGCCGTATCGATTCACATTAACAAAAAAAGCGAGCAAATGTTCACATAAATATGCTATAGTATATATATATATATATATATATATATATATATAATATATATATATATATATATATATATATATATATATATATATATATATATATATATATATATATACATATATATACACACACACACACACATAGGATGGGATTGTTGCAAACAATAAAACGGTGCTGTTACAATTTAATCACCAGAATGTTAAGAACACTTGGTTAGAGAACCAGTCTCTATCGGCACATGCAGGAACCTGAGATATACTATAAAAGTAAAAAAAACTGTAAAAGGTTAAGAAGTAGTAAGTATGCAAAAACAAAAAAAAAAGATCAGATCATACAGTAAAAATTAACAAAAATGACGCTATTTCACACGTCATGTTTTTGGCAAAGACAGTTTGCTACATGAAATTTAAGTTGCGATTCCCCAAAATCAGGCAGGTTTTTATTCTGATTAATAAAATAGTAAAATTAATGGCTAATTACATTTCTCTGTTCTGGGCATCATGGTTTTTAACCTGCAAGTTTACTGATTCTGCAGCTTTTAATGTAAAAATTCAAAAGTTTCATAAGTTTTGATATTTTCTTACTATTATTTTTTTTTTTTGTGGTTATTAAGGTCATCCCAGAAGTTCTAGCAATGTCTTATCATAGAGCAGCATGGGAGAGCATTCAACTAGGAAGTTCATGCCTTATTCCTTACCAAAAAGATAAAGATAGGTATTTCTTATTCATATTTCTTAAATTAATAAGCACAGTGTTTTTTTTAGTACAGGAACACAAAGAAAATGTTGAAAAAATGTAAAAAGTAAAACGTAAAAATGTAAAATGTAAAAATGTAAAATGTAAAAAGTAAAAATGTAAAAAATGTAAAACTGAGTTAAACTTGATCTATTATAAAAAAAGCCCCTGCTTAAAAAAACGCCACAAAAAAATGATTACTTTGTTTAAATGAAAAACTAAATATATTCTAATGCCGCATTGAATTTCACCTGATGATTGCAATAGTATGAAACTTAAAGTTGTGAAAACCATGTAATTTTATTTTCTACATTTAAACTATATTATATTATAGCTCTGATTCAGTTCATCGAGCACTTTCTTTAAAGTAGCACCACTACAAACATATACACATACATCACTTCAAAATAGCACCACTACAAACATATACACATACATACATGCATGCATACATACATACATCATACATGAATAAATACATAAATAAACAGGAAATAAACTAGCCCTGTGGGGTGCGTCAAACGTGGTATTATCAAATGCTCATAAAATTAAAATTCCCAATATAAAGGTAAAAAAATCCCATTCTCTAAATAAAGTTTGCCAAATCATAAATTAAAGTTTTAATAACAATTCTAAAAATTATTGAAAATTAATTATTATTATTAAATGCTAATAGAAAAATAACATAAGAAATTCCAACTTATTGATTGGGTAAACTTGAAATTAAATTGACGTTATTAATATAACTACGCTATTGCATAACTGTGAAAATGTCTCTTGGAAAAAACTTCAGGAGTATTGGAATTTTTCCAGCAATTTTTCGGATTTTCTCAGCAACTTGCTCGTAAAATTTATTTCTTAAAATTTGCAAATAATTTTTTGCGGATATTAAGGTAACTATTTTGGTTATTGTTTTTTTTTTTTTTTTTGGTATTTTATATTAACTGAACTTCATAATTGAATTGATTATATTTTTTTTTTACTTATCAGCATAGACTAAAATCTTTTTTTTACTTATCTACTATCACATCTTGACTAATTTTTTTAAAAAGCCACCTCTGAATTATAAGTTAAATACAAAAAATGTTTTATGATTATAACAAACTGGTACCAGAAAATTATTTAACAAAGAAAATAGATTTCTTTACTTACAGCTTGCTTGTATTTAAAACCTAAATTAGCTTTGATTAGGTTGTTATGATTAGGGATGACTACTCATGATCCAAATAGATATTTGGGAACCCAAATTTTTTTCCTAAAACCACAGAGGTTTTAAAAAAGTAGCAAAAGTGCTCATATTACCCAGCACTTTAAGTTATCTAAAAAAATAACATTAATTAGTAAAAAAATATAAACCTGACTATTAGAACTAATTTATGTTAGTGAATATAACGATTCATTAACAAAATTTATGATTAAAAGATCAAATTTTAGGCCACTTTTAATTTAAACAATACAACTTTGTTTACGCAACAACAACAAAAAAATTTAATTTGTTATTTTTGCAATTTATTAATTCAAACTTTTAAACAATAAAAGTACAAATTTTTTAAATTCAAGTTAAAAAAATATATTCAGTATTGTTAAAATAATAAATTTTTTTACTATATTTTGTGTTTATTCAAAAGTAATTAAACCAATTTTAGAACTTTTTAATTATTTTTTTGATTTTTTAACCAATCCTATAAATCATATATCTTATTAGTTAATTCTGATATTCATCAGAAGTACGTTTGGGTGTTATAGGCAAGGTTTATGGTTTTTTCAATGCTTCTGCAAAACAAAATTTTATCATTAAAGAACATGCTAAACTCACAACTATTTTTACTCTACGAAACATGATGGGTTAAGAGACTTTGCTGCCTTTTAGCAGCAAAGTGTCATGTCTCTTAACCCTTGGGATGGAATCCTTTTGGGATTCCAAGTTTTCATAAAAAGCAATAGTTTAATTTTTATAAATTAGAGAAAGTGATTTTATTGTGTCTTTAGGCTGTGCTGTACATGTGTTTTCTTCAAGTCACTCAGTTGTTAAAAAAAAAAGGTTGAACTGGTATTGGACATAAATACAAGTTTTTCTAATAAAAATGTGATGTTTTTGAAGTTATTATTTTATGTCAAAAGATATTATTACACTGAATCATAAAGATATTGTTGAAACTGTTTGTGCAATTAGTAACATCTTTGGTGTCATTCTTGGACTAAGTATTTAAAACTTACCTGCACTTAAATTTATATCAGAAGTTAAACTTGGCAGTGCAAAAGTATCAAAATGAAGGATGAGGGAGGAACCATATCACTGCCTCCTGATTTTTCTGTTGTGTTTTTGTGTGACCAGGTTCAATATCCACTCACAAGTTGTTTCAAATTATTTAGTCATGTTCTGTAAGTATTGTCAGTGCTGAATGTAGTTTCTCAACCCTGCAAAGAATTAAAAACTGGCTAAGAACACAAATGATTGAAAGCAGACAAGTCGGATTGACCTTTTAATATGTACAGAGAAATTCCAGTAAAAGTTGAAGACATGATTGACCATTTTGCAAAGTCAACAAATTGTAAATTAGAATTTGTAATACAAGTGTGTGGGGTTGAATTGATCCAACTGATTTCTTTGTTGTATATGGATTGGTTTGAGTCCAAGCTTGGACTTTTTGGAGCATGATTTTTAGCTTTTCTTTCCTCATTAGACATTGTGTCTCACTTTTTTGATCCAGAATAGCTCACAGGTGTTCAATTGGATTGAGATCTGAACTTTGAGTCGGTCATTCAAGTAACTTAATCTACTTTTGGATGAAAAACTTTTTTCCTGTCTTTGATTTGATTTTAGAGTCGCTGTCTTGTTAGTAGATATATTATTTTCCCAATCGCAGTTTTTTATTTGAGGCAAGATGAGAATATTGACATAAACTTCATAGTCCATAATTCCATTAATCAACTCCAGCTTTCCTGTTCCATTCCAAGCCATTAATTCCCAGACCATTACACTGCCTCCACCCACTTTTACCATTCTTCGAATGCAACTGAATGTGAATGCTTTGTCTTTTTTTCTCTATACTTTTGGAGCTCCATTAGACTTCACAAGACTAAATTTTGACTCATCAGTCCACAAAACTTTTTTCCAGAATGATACCAGCATATTTACATATTTTTTAGCAAATGCAAGTCTTTCATGGAACTCTTACTTTAAATCCAACTTCTTTCAATTGATTTTGAATAGTACATGGACTCACTTGTATTCCGAATTCTTTAACAAGAATACTTGACGCTTTTGGTACTGGTAAAACCTTTTTTTTTTTGCACCATCTTGACAATTTGTTAATCGATTCTGGATGTCATTTTGCGCTTAGCTTTGGATATTGGCTGATTTTTCACATATCCAAATGTTTTGTACTTTTTAATCAGAATGTTGATAGTTCTATATGGCATTCCAGTTGCTTTGCTTATTAACCTAATTTTTTTATTTTATTTAAACAAGTCGATGACCAAACTACAATTTGTTTTTTTTAATTTAAAACCATGATTTAATTTGCTTTCAGAATAATTAGAAAATTATTAATCCAAAAATTTTTTTTTATGAAATATCCGGACAAAGTTTATTTTTCAAAATAAAATGTTTTGTTTGGATACTTATTTCTTTGACTGTAAGACAAAGAGTATTGAAGACAAAGCACTATGGGAAACCATCCAGCCTGTGAATTAACCTGATTCATAATATTACAATAATCATTATATATCTTTAAAATAACTTTATTGTATGCAAAAAAGATAATTTTGAAGCATAAATATCATTAAAAACAATAACTAAAATAATTTAAAAAGATAAAAAACATAAAAAGATTAAAATTAGAATTTTAAAAAAAAAAGCTAAAGTAATCTACTTGTAACCTTTAAGACAAACTCCAATAAGTTTGGAGAAAGCAAAGTGATTTTTCGAATACACATAAATGCAAGAACTCTACCATGCTCTTCACCAGATGACCACATACGTGTAAGTCTCTAAAAAAAAGAAAGATAATCTAATACTAAATTTTTGTTAAAAAAAGGTATAATGCTATTAAACAAATCCTCATTAAAATACTTTAAAAACATCCTTGTTTCATTGAAATTACTTTTAGCTAAAATATACCTTTAAAAACATCTTAGAAATTTTTGGAAAACAAGAATAAAATGGACACAGCAATTGACAGTGATGTAAAATAACAGATAGAACGTTGGAGTCTGTCAACTGACGTAAAACCTAAAAACAAACAAAAAAAAATTATTGTTTACTGCCTTATATTTGTACTTAGGCTCCTAATAAAAGGTCTAAGTATAATTAGAATTTTTAAGTATAAAAAAAAATTTAAACTCAAATTTCAAATAAAATCCCCGATATTTCCGGATATTATAAGGGACTTGTTAAATAATCAAAGGGTTAGTTGGAACCCCAAAAGATTTTTATTCAAAATTTTTTATAATCTGTTATAGGGGTTATAAAATGTATTTTTCATATTCTTGCCTTTATGTTATGGAAAAACTATTACATTTTATGTTATACAAACAACTATAGCAGTCTTCTCTATTTGGAAATTACTGGGAATGCACAAAAATGTGCTGGTCATTAATAGGTTATTATTAAGCTGGTCTGCACAATTTAAAAAATTTATTGTCCCCTTGCAACGCAGCAATTTATCTATTCATGTCATTGTGCTGTCAATTAAGTCATTCAGAAGTTTTTCTACCACTGTAATTAGTGATACATTTTACCAATTTTGTTCACAGATCTTTTTTATTGTGAATCATTTACTCAGGCTTTTATATCTCAAACAAAAATAATGATGATTTAGTATCTTTTAAAGGTTTTTTGGAAAAAATTTAACTTTGATACACTATCGTTCTAAATGAAAATATTTTTACTGTGTCTTTTCCTGACTCAGAATTGCTAACATCTACATCAACTGAGACTAAAAATGATTGGTTTATTGAACTGGAAAAATGTTTACTAATCTTAAACTTTTGACAAATTTTAATATAAAAATGCTCAATTTTTTATTACACCTCACACAATCTCTGTCCATAAATTATTGGTACAGCAAATACAAGCTATTACTGTCATAGTGTCATGGTTTAGTTTAGATCACCTGTATGATGAAACTACTATATCAATATACAAAACATATGTTTGACTGCAAAGTTTGAACCAACATTCAAAGGCCCCACCTTGCAGTTTTATTTTTCCTCAATAATACCAATAGAAAAGTGATATTTAACAAAAAATCTGAATTTTTTCCGCAGATGATGACAAATTTAGGATTAGATAATTAAATTAGCTGGTCATTTGCTAGTAATCATGTTTATTTGGTTAGGATGCATTTTATAGTATTTAGTTTTTTTAAAGTTTAAGTTCTTTTTTTTGTTGTTTATGTTTTTAGATGTTTTTGAGGAATGTGATTACGTAGATGATGAATCTCAATGGATTTTAAGTTTTACAATTTTTTATAAAGGTAATTAATAAAAAAAAAAACATTTGTTACAATTTAAAAAACACATATTTTAAATGAACATTAAAAACAGTGAGGAAAAAAACTAGCAGACATGCCAGCATTGGCTAGTAAAATAAAGCACTGGCTAGTTATTTTTCAAAAATTGACTGCAAAATGCTATTCTATTTGGCTTACGATTAATTGGTCCTGAATTTGGGTTCATGCAGGAAAACGTAGTTCTAAATTATGTTGCAACTATATTCAAGAACAGGAAGCCGAAGGAATCTTTAAAAATATGTACTGCCTTAATCTCAGCTTAATCTCCTAATTTAAAATTTCATTTTACCAGTTATTATGGGTGGAAGTTGATAGAAATGTTTGAAAAAATATATAATATTTTATAGAATATAAAATAATATATATTTATAATATTTTATATAGTTATAGAATATTTATTTTATATAGTTATAGAATATATTAAAGGAATCTTGGAGTGCATTTTTACAAAAACCATTCAAAAATTAATTGACTGGTTGCCAAAAACTACAAAACAAACTTTTGGAATCAAAGGGTTTATTTTTTGAGAAAAAGAAAGTTTTGCAATAAGGCGTTTTTCTTTTATTTATTAATCTCTTTATATATCTTTATTTCAACATTTACACTTGCAACATTTTATATAGCTAAATAACAGGTATAATAAAGATAAAATATACTCACTTGCAAAATATCTACTAAATATCTTTTTACTGTCACTTTGATTGTTGACCAACGTTTACTTGTTGTTGGCAATAAAACTCTAAATATATAAAGTATATTGTATATCATATACTATATATACATATTAGTTATACAATGATAATATTTTATATAGTTTTTTTTTAGTATTCTTTAGTAAATTTTTATTCTTTTTTATGATAGATGCATCCTAATAATTATGTGTAATATTTATTTTTGCTTGGAAATTAATTTTTATTAAATAAGAAAACCCATCGAAAAAATAAGAAATCTTAAAATTTAAAATCAAATTTGTAAAGTTTTATAATGAGAATGAACATTAACAAGGTTAATTGCTTGTAGCACACCATTTTGTGGAAAAAAGGTTCCTCCATACTATCTCTACTATTTCTAGACATACCCAACCCCAAGAATTAGGAAAACTGATTAAGAGAGATAAAAAGTTAAATATCTTAAATTAATACAAACAAATATTCATAAAAATTTCAAAAAAATCACTAAGTAAATAATAGAAAAACTAAACTTCACTAAACTTTTTTAATTGAACTCCTTAATTCAATATTGAAAAATTCAAAAAAAGTCTTTTTGATACGATTAAAAAAATATCCCTTTTTTGCTTATAAATACAATCTTTCCTACCACCCTAAATTAAAAATAATCTGATACAAATCTTTTTAGTAAAAACATTACAAAATGCAGTACAGGTATAATGCCCTTAAAAAGACAACATATTTAAATTGACTTGAAATATTTTGGAAAGCCTATTTTTTTTAAAACTATTTATTTTTTAACTTGTTTAAAGCCATATAATTTCTTCCTGGTGGTTGACAACAGTAATCAAATTTTGTTTAATGTTTTAATAATTTATCTTGTTATTCTTGATATCTCCTTAATGATTAACTTAATTGGCGAAATATTTTGCATGGTATCATCTGCCTTTTCACCCAAATAATGCATTTCATAATACACATTAAGAAACTCTTTTTTTGAAATTATTTCAATGATATTGTTTTTTTTTCCCTTTATAACTTAAAGTTTGTTTGAAAGATTCTTTTAACAACTACTTCTTGTTTTAACAGCTTCTTATTTTGCAACTTCAAAAAAAGACTTAAATTACATTCACATTAGGCAATTTGCTCATATTTGGTAACAACAATAATTATACAAATAACTAGTCTGACATTTAATGATTTTAAGCATTAGAGAAAAAAATATGAGAAAAATGTTTTTGTTTGGCTCAATGCATATTAACAAAAAAGTGTACTGGCAGGGGCTATTCTAGACTCTTTTTGACAGCATCGACTGTATTTTAACGCCGCTCAAATTAAAATTTAAGGATCTTTTTTTTTTTTAACGTTTTTTACAGCAAATTTTTTTTTTGTTAAAAAAAAAAACAGATTTTCTACTAAATTTTTCTGGGACGGAGGGGTACTGCTGCCCAAATTTTTTTCCTAGAATAGGCCCTGACTGATTAGTTCATTATATATGATATATTGCATCATTATATTCTAATCTAATATTTTGATCTGATATATTTTTATCATTATATTTTTGTAAAACTGTAAATAATTTAAAAACAAAATTATCTATATAAAATTATAAAAGTATATAAAGAATAAAAAAGCTTTAAAATCTTACTTTTTTGATTTCTTTTCTTTTACATAATCAAGATGCTTTGTGAGTATAGGAACAGTGTAGTTTAAACACATTGCTACAATGCTATTAAACATGCTGCTATTGACAAGATATTTACTTTTTTTCTTTTCAACTTGAACTGCTTCAGCATCAGGGGGTGACATTGCTTCAACAGCAGAATGAAATGCACTTAATACTCTTTTTAAAGTTTTCACTGACTTTTTCTAAACAATAAAGAAAATAGATCATATAATCTGTACAACCATGTTATATATCCTTCTTCTAATTTTTTAACCTGGAAAAGTAATTTAAAAAGTAAGTCAGTATCAGTAATATACTATAAGTAATACTTTTCCAGGTTAAAAGTAAAAAATTAACCAGAAAAAGTTTAAATCTTTTCTAATTAGACCAATCATTCACTCATTAGATATTTTTTAATAAAAGTTAAGTGATAATTTTCTGTAAAGATAATTTAAAATAATTTACATAACTATTAGATATTTACATAACTGTTAGCTTTTGCTTGTATTTATTGAGGAGTAAACATTGCACATGTTGAATAACTGTATTTTAATATACTAGTTATTTCCACTCAACAAAACACAGTTTTGAAAAGTTGTTTTTTAAATGTCTATTAAAAAGTCTGTTGAGTTTAATAAAGATCCAGAAGACAGATTCTTTAGATCTTATTTGTATCTGTGTGTGCACTCCTTTTTATTATGCTGATCAAACAATTGTTAAAAAATATTTATGAAAAAGTATGAACATGATACACAATGACATGAACTGAAAAAATACTCATAATAAACTAATAAGATTTAACTAAAATGATAAAAACTAGAGAGCCTATATACTCAGAGAGCGGACATACGGAAAATACAGAAGAACGGCGGCCATGTTTTTGCCAAACTAACGTATGACATTCACAAATTCAAGTAAAAACAATTAAAAGAAAATGAGCACAATAATATTTTCAACAGAAATATATTTTTAAAAATTAAACTTTTTTATGTTTTATTTTTTCAAAATTATTTTTCGACAAAATTATTTATTTATTTACGAAATACCTTTAAAAAAAACACAGCAAAAAAGTAGTTGTAATCAATAAGTAATTTGAAAAAAGCTTTACAGTTTATTTTATAAATTAGTTGAACCTAAACCTTTAGCGCCAATGCATGCATTGTCATCTCTTGCTGCCAAGTTCACAAGAACCTTTTTTAGTTTTTTTCTTTTTACATAATAAACGCTTTTTTTAAAGGCTAAATATTTTAAGTCTGAATGTTATAAACCTGTTTTTTAGATTCAATTTAATTTGATGACAACTAGGATAGGACTTTTAATTTGTTCATCAGAATTAATTTTCTCTAAAAGCATAGTATTACAATTCTTTTGGGAATTAAGATATGGCTCAAAAGATCTGAATATTAATTCCATTTGTAAAAAGAATGCAAATGTTGTTTCATTAGCAAAAAATAAACTACCCACTTTGTGCTCTTTGTCTGTAACAAACTTTATGTAATCAGCATTAACTCTATTTTTAGAAACTATAGATTCAAAACAAATTGTACAAACTTTTTCAATTTTTTTAACTCTAGAAATTATATAACCTGCAATATGAAACAAACAATTTCGCTCAGCATTACTTAAGATTAAGTTAGAGGTTTTATCCCAATCTTTAGATAACAAAATGCACTCTCTTTGCTGTGGCTTATGCACCTTACTATTAACTATATTAAGAAAACCAGATAAGAATTGACGGTCATCTATATCATAACTGCCTTTTGATGATTTTTTCAAGAATTGGGCAACGCAAATAAATTTCAAGTTATTTTTAAATTGAAGAGCATTAGGAATTACTTGTTTTGCACGTACCAGGGAAAAAAGTTTCTCCAGGCAATCCTGCGTAAATCGTGATGTCATTAGAAAATCAAACTTTTTTTCTAGAAGAAACTTATTTTGCAAGTTAATAACTGATGTTGTTGATAATATAACACCAGATTGAATAGGTTTCCACCTTATTTTTCCGGTTTGGCCTAATATTTTTAAACCATTGAATATCTCTATGATTTCATTTAAAAAAGTTATTGTTTCATTGTAAACTTTGTCATTTTTCATGCTAAGAGCCATACCTGGGTTTCGTGAAGTCATTAATGTAAACCATTTATCAACAATTCCTATAAACCAAGCACTTGTGAGAATAGAATCATCTTTTATTTCACTTGCAATAAATTTTAATCCACAACTTATATCATGATTTATTATAGATGTTGCTCTTGATACTTTCATTTTGTTGAAATGTTTTTCATCAAGATGTTCAGATGTAAGCTTGTAAGCAAACTTCAAATCCATACCTTCTTGAAAGTCTACAAGCTTGTTAAGGTGTTTTGAATCTATAATTGGCGATTGAAGTTTATATTTTTCTTGAATCTTAGCTGTTATTATAAAATGTTTGTTACATAAAAGAGATGTTCTTATATTCTTTAATAAATGTGGTACGTCTGCTAAAAAATCAAAAATCAGTAGGGTCCCATGGGTGTTTAATTGAACTAGAAATACTGCCAATTTTAGTACAGCTAATATTAAAAGATTTCCACATTGCCTGGTTAATGGCACCCATCAGAAGTAAAACTATTAACTTTTAATCCTATTTCTTCAGTATACTTTATTATAGATAGGGCAATGTTTTTTAAAACACCCCCATTAACAGAACTTCCAGTATAATAATATACAACAGTTTGTTTCCATCTTGCAGATATTCCTCCAAGCATAAAAACTAAAGCATGGTTAGCTTGGCTATAATGTTCAGGTAATGTAACAACTCCATAGTAATAGCTTGTAGATGTGTCATAGTCACTTTCAGTTATTGACATTTCATCAAGAATTAAAACACATTCTTTTTCATGGATTTTCATGGCATTCACCTTAGTTTTCATAAACTCAAAGACTTCTGTTAGAATGCCACTTTGAAATTTTAGATTTTCTAATCTTCGTCGTAGGGTACGTAATGATGGGTATGGTAAGTTTAAACGAAGTAAATTTTCATAACCACTTTGACCGCATGTAAATTTAAGTTCTAATGCTTCATTTATAGTATCATTTGACCATTTAATGAATTTCATATTTTTTCTACTTAAAGATAAAATTTGATCTTCTTTAAATATTGTTATCAAAACTCTAAATTTATCTCTCTTTATATGATTATATTTTTGAATAGTATTTATTCTTGCTTTCGATTTTAAAATGTTAATTTTTTTTTTTTTGATTAATGACTTTTTTTTCTAATCTCCAATTTCGCATTTAAATCTTGTATAAGTAAACTTTTATCAACCTCAGTTGTGCAAAGTGATTTAGATACTATATTGTTATTTATTTCAATTTATGTTTGAGTTTTCTTGATCCATCTTCTCTGGTTTTTTCCCATTGATTAGCATCAAAGTGTACCTTAATAAAAAAATTGAATGAATATAATGTATTTGTATGGATTCTAAAATAACTCATTTCTAGGATTAATTACATAAAACTGTATTTTCTTATGCTTACTTTACATAAAAAGCTTGTGTTTGTAGGTATCCAGTTAAGTCGTTTAACTTTAGAATTCCAAATCGCCCGTTGTTTTTCATTTCTTGGGAAGGATTTCATAATAAATCCTTTCTCAGGCCTGTTATGGCAGCCTACTGCAGCACAACCAGGCATACTTTTACAAATATTTAATACAAATTTAGTAGTAGACTTTATTTGCAATTAGTATTTTTGGCAAAAAGATGGCGTCTAAAATCATAAAAATCGAACAACCAATCAAAAACGATCACACGTATGTCCGCTCTCTGAGTATATAGGCTCTCTAATAAAAACAGGTAAAAATAGTCCTAGTAAATATCTAAAATTTAAAACAATTAACAAAAGTAACAGAGTTATGAGTTTTAATTTTGAGTATATTAGGGCATGTGAGGCGCTTTAGCCATGATGAAGGCTAGAAAAAGGAAAACTAATTAAAAAAGAGAAGCTTTTAATAAATTCAAGAACTTACAGTATAACACTAATGCAACAATGTGCAAAAAGAATGTAAGTTTAACGTTAACAATAAAAACTGCAACTTTTAAAATTAAAACATTTGATGACTTCAAATTTAGCAAAAATTATAAAATTTTAAACTGATTGAGAAATAGGCTAAAAATCTAAAAACTCTTGTATTGATAATTGAAAACTTTCTACGACAACTAACTAAAGCTTCTACAACAACTAACTACAGGTTGCAAAAATATTATATACTATTGCCTATAGTTTAGACCTAGAATTTTCACTTCTAAATTATCTAATTATTTTAAAAGTCTCTATAAATTGTTACCACCTAAAATGGTTCCAAGAACCTTTACAGATAATATAGTTTGATTCAAACCATGTAACAAAATTAGGTCACAGAGTAATAAATACCTTTACAAACATAAAAAATAACAACGAAAAAACATTAAACATTGGGGGAAAGATGAGGTGTTTCATTAGTTTCTGAGGGTTTACTGAGGTATTTTCGCAAAGAAATGCAGTTTTAAAGTTTTTTCATGAAATTACTTTTGCATCTATTTGCAACAATCTTGTTGTAGTTAATATTAAATCTAAAGTTCTTTTTTCTATTCATCTCTATTATTCATATTTTTTTACTCCTTTAGGTTGCTGTTTTTTAAATTATATACAACTCAACAAATAATTTGAATTAATAATAAAACTCATTGTTTTAGGTAAAACAGTAAAATATTCCTTGTGAAATACTTATTATTCGATTAAAATGATTAATACAACTTGGGAGATACCATAAAAATAACATAATAACTAATGCAATTGTGAGATAACAGGAAAATAACATTAAAAATACTTAGAGTTATTCTTTTTTTTATAAATATATAATATAAAATTTATATCTCATTATTAGAAAAAGAAATTATTTATGTTATTAAATGCTATCCAAGAATTAGTGTTAACAGATTATTATACATTGAAATTTACTTTTTTAAACTGGCTTTAAACGGCGTTAAAATACTGTAAATTTTATGAGTCAGTAAAACATTAAGTTGAGGGAGAAATAAAACTGATGATAAATAAAAGTATTTTTAACATAAAGAAACAGTATTCATTCATTCATGCATCTACATTCATTTATTCATATTAACAGCATTACAATAACTATTAGTAGTACTGAGTTTTGTTTTAATGCGTTAACTTTCACAACTCAACCCTCGGAATCAGGAAAAATAAGGTCGGCAATAATTTGCTGACCTCAATGTTTTTGAGGTTGGCAAAAATTATTTGATACAAAGGTCTGACCATAAAACATAAAAACAAGGTCAGCAATTTTTTGCTGACCTCAAACATTTTCAGGTAGGCAGTTAAATCAGCATTGCCAAATGCCGACCCTAATTCCGAGGGTTGCTAACTATTGCAAGCCTCAAGCTGTCAAAGAAAAGAGGCAACATTGAAAATCTACCTGTAATTTAAAACTGAGTTAAAAAAAGTTATTTAATCTGCAAATATAGAAAATTAGAGGGAAAAAAGTCAAAAAGATCATATTCATATCTATGTATAAAAGATGAAACTGTTAGAATTATTCTTGTGGGTAAAACTAATTTTGTGTCAAAATTATGAGACCCTATTTCTAGACATAGATCATAAAATGGGTTGCTGGATGGAGCTGCTGCTGCAAAATAAAAAATGTCTAAAAAAATTTCCAGTGTCCATTCCTCCAAGGTTAGAAAGGTAATATTTTTTAAGATTTTACTTTTTAACTGAAAACATATGCAAATGATCAATATTTATTAGAAAAAAAATTCTATTACTTTAAACAAAATATCATAAAATTATGTTTAACCTCAAGACCTTTCTTCCAAATTTGTATTTTTTTAGATGAAACAGTAATCCCTTCGTGTTCTGTAGCTGTTTCTTTTTCATTGTTATTATCCTGAACTTCTTCAACATCTGGTTGCTCATCATCTAATTTAAAAAAAAAAACTAGAACTTTAAAAAGAAAACCTAGTACCCAGAGTCCTAAATTTAACCTAGTACCTTAAGTCCAAAACAATATAATGTTGCTGGCTATATTTTTAAAATAATACATAAAAATAAAACCTAGTGCCTAGAGTCTAAAATAAAACCTAGTACCCAGAGTCCAAAACAATGTAATGTTGCTGGCTATATTTTAAAAATAATACATAAAAACGCAAACTTTGCTTTACACACAGATGGCAAAAATAATTTTTTACTCAACATAATAAAAAAGCCCCTTCTGGATTAAAATTATGCACACACATAATTGAAAAAAAAATTTGAACTAAAACAAAACATTTTGCTATATATAAGTAACCATGTAAAAAATACTGCGTTGTAAATAAAAAGTTCATAATTCAAAATTAAAAACATGACCAAAATTACAAATTACTTTTCTTCCTAAAATATTTTTTTACTAATGGTCAGGGAAGTAGAGTCCCCAAAGGACAAGGGCTTTAAATAAACTAGCTTATCTGCTAAAACTAGCTTAAATCTCAATTTTTTCCTAATCTCTGGTGTCCTGAAACTCTTATTTTAAGGTTGGTACTGAAGTTTACAATTATGGCCAGACTTTATTAATGTCTGATGGATTTGTGGGTCATTTCATGCCAAATGGACCAAGGTCCAACATGGAATACCTCAGATTTTGATGTGGGTTGGTTTATATTAAAAAGAAAAACAGTTCCTGAAAATCTCAGCATAAAATTTTTTGTGGTTTATGAGATGTGGTCATTTCCATAAACAAAAAGTTTAATAGCAAAACTACGTTTTGTTCATACTTTACATTAAAAATGCTCTTTACATTAAAAATGAAATTTCAGAAAATCTAGTTTTTTTTTGCATACAACACTAGACTTACTTTAATAAAACTTTGACATTGAATTCTTAAATGTCAAATTTTATCCATAATGGTTACCTAAAAATCCTAGAAAATCATTTGCAAATATAAAAAGTTGATTTTGATGGGTCAGTAAACAAAATCTAAAATTTAAGAAGTGAAAAGATATACTTATTTAACTTCTAAAAATGGTTAGCTTCCAAATTTTCAGAAATTTACTGATATGATACAATTTAGTAAAAAAATATGGACTCCTAAAAATGGCTCCAGGTAAAATTTTAAAAATTGTGCCTTTACTTCAACCCACCAGGTAACCTAGGATCAATACTGATGTTGAAAAGAAATTTTTTTCTTCTGATTTAATAGACTATATTACAGTGATTTCAGGAAAAAAAGGGTACTCATGGGGAAATTACAAAAAAAGAACAATGAAATTTGAGAGTTATTAAGAGTACTTTAGTTTGTATTATATATTGTAATACAAAGTATGTATATATGTAAGAGTATTTCATAATCAGTACTAGAAACACATTTTAATTTAAGCCTGAATTAAAGCCTGAATCAGTTTTTTTAAAGCTATAGCCTCCTCCTCCCTTCCCCCCCCCCCCCAACCATTTACTTTTTAACTTGCACATTATTGCCCAAAAGCTAGAAAAAATTGTGTTTGAATATTTCTCCTTACAAAGCGTGTCTGGTTATGTCTGATGCATGAAGTACCTTTATGCACAAACACACTAATACACATTTAAAATCTGTGCCATAAAAGACAAGCAACTTATTGAGTGTTCAAGCAACTGTTATTTGAGTAAAATAAAATTTTTCATTTCTTATTTATTTAATGTACTAAAACTAATGGAAAGCTTAGTTTGTATTTCAAAAATTGTATTTAAAAATATATTTTTAGATGGTAACTAAAAACAAATGGCAAGTGTATTGTTAGATCTAACTAAATTTTGTATTTAAAACGAAAAATAATTAAAATTTATTTTAATGTCAAGATTGGGTTTTCTATGTTTTATGAGCTTAGACAAAAGTGATGTATTCCTATTCAAAGTACTTCAGGTCTCCATTCAGTACTTCAGTACTTCAAAGTACTTCAGGTCTCCATTCAGTACTTCAAAGTACTTCAGGTCTCCATTCAGTACTTCAGTACTTCAAAGTACTTCAGGTCTCCATTCAGTACTTCAGTACTTCATAGTACTTCAGGTCTCCATTCAGTACTTCAGTACTTCAAAGTACTTCAGGTCTCCATTCAGTACTTCAGTACTTCAAAGTACTTCAGGTCTCCATTCAGTATCATACTCACAAACACATAATATGTATGAATACCACAAAAACTTTTTGTTAATAGAAAACTCATTTATAACAAATAAATTATTATTGAGAGACTAAATAAGTTTTTTCTTGATATTGGTCCAAACTTAGCAGCCAGAATGCAAAACCTTTGACACTAAAAATACCAGATATTTCAGACTATATAGACCTCCTGACATTAATTGTATAGGACTTGACAAATCAAGAGTGCAAAATGTATGAACGGTGTAGACAAAATATTAAAGATATACATTTTCAATATATTTCAAATTATGCAACTGTATTACACTGTATAAAGTTTGAACTAGAAGAACGTTTTGCTAATTGTTCAACAATTTCAGGAATAAGTAACCATTATTGTTTTATAACACAACCATTAACTACTTTACATTTATATGAGAATACATATTGTCATTTGACAATACGTATGCTCGTGTAAACGTTTCTGCAATGCAATAGGCTTTTCTATCACCAGAAATTAATATTGCATGTGTTCATGATGCAAAATGGTTAATAAGCAGTATTGTGGAAATCCTGAAGAAAAAATACCCAAAAAAATACTCAAGATATTATTACCAAAGTCATGAAGCAGTATATTTCCTTAAACAGATTAAAAGATATTTGCTGGGTTCAAATAACCAACCCTTGGAATTAGGAAAAATGAGGTTGGCAATTTATTGCCGACTTCTAATTGCTAGAGGTCGCCATTAGGTCTGCAGAAAAAAATTGACACAAAGGGATTACCATAAAACAAAGAAACAAGGTTGGCAATGTTGGAGGTTTTGCCGACCTCATACAATTAAAGGTTGGCAGTTAGGTCCCTAATTCTGAGGTCCCTAATTCCAATCCTAATTCCGAGGGTTGCATTAACACAGGTTTTATGCAAAATTTCATCTTTAAAAGTTCAATTATCTACTGGTTATTATCTATGAATTATTAGCTTGTTACAAATTTTACAATCATGGTATTAAATAGTAATTATCTATGAATTATTAGCTTGTTACAAATTTTACAATCATGGTATTAAATAGTAAGGAAATTAGACTAAATGTTTTCTCTTTATTTTTATTTAATAAGCTACTTATAAGTCTATATGCAATCTTTTACTATCTAAGATTACAAACTTAATGTCACAGCTGTTATGTGTATGTTTAGTAGTGTGTTTGCATAAAGGCACTTCATATATCAAACATAAAATCTAACACACTGTGTAAGAAGAAATGTTCAATTACATTTTTTTCTAGGTTCTGGGCAAAAATATGTATGATAAAAAGTAAATGGATGGGGGAGAGAAAGAGAAATGGATAAAAATGGAGAAAAATTAAATGGATGGGGGAGAGAAAGAAAATTGTCCAGCGCAATGTTTTGCACCAGTAAAACTCAAATATTTTTATTTCAAACATTCATCATTGAGTTATCATGAATTATTATTTATTTTTGGATATGGGTGTTCCACATAATTTTATCAAGTTTTAGCAATCTTTAGACGATAAATATTTTAAAATTATTATTTAGCATCGCACTGCCTGACAAAATGTTTAAAATTCTTTCGAATTTCTAAATGTTAATTTAGAAATTCGAAAGAATTTTAAAATTTCGAATGTTTAAAATTCTTTCGAATTATTTTCCTAAATACTTATTTATTATTTTGATCGCATCTGATTGTGTTTTTTTCCCACCTAGTTCTTAATGATCTTGTTTTAAAGAATAAATTTATTTTTTATGTATTTTCTTTGTTATCGCCTACATCTTTAACTTAATATTACCATCAACTTTTTATTATTACATCGAGTTTATTTAAAAAAAGTTCATATGCCTTCATTTTTTTCATTGTTTCATTCAATTAATTAAAATATAAATTCATAATGTTTTCGCATCATTAAAACATTAAAACAATGAAACAATGATTTCTTTTCGTTAAAACGTATTTAATGTTTTTTTGTTGCTAATGCTGATAGACCTTTTATAACTTTTTTAGCAAACGTTTTCACAAACTTAAACTTTTCTTTTTATCAAATTAATCTAATTAAGTTATAAATAATATAAGTTATAATTTTAATAACAAAAGCTTTTTAAATTTAGACCGAAAAACATTTCTAATGCTCTAATTTACCGAATGACGTAGGTTAATATTTAGAAAACGAGTTTTTTTAAATGTTTTACTTCAACTGCCAAAATGCAATAAGAAGTCTCATTCACAAATCACCATAGAAATTTGTGCTCTAATTTTAAAAGAATGATGTAAGTTAACATGAAAAACAAATGTTCAAAGAAATTTGTGCTCTAATTTTAAAAGAATGATGTAAGATAACATGAAAAAATGAGTTTTTTAATTGAAGTATAATTTTAACATTTTGTTTTATACGCATTGTTAACAATATGTTTTATACGCAAGAGAGCAAGATTTGTTTTTTAAAGAGAAAAAATAACTGTTAATAAATAAAGTTTTTTTTTTTATATATATATATAATATGGTTCTTTATTTATAAAAATTTAAATTGAAAAAGAATTTGTCAATAAAAACAATATTGCACCACGTTCAATCGAGGAGATGTTTATCTATTTAAAGTGTGACATTTATACATTTGGAGAAAATTTTTTGAAAAATATTGAGGAAATTTGTTCTCATCCGAAAGACTTAGTTATCGCAAGCATGAACTCAATCTCAGAAAGCACAATTCGAAACTTTCGAGAACGACTATTTGCTGAAATCGTTGAGACATTTTGTGCAGATGAATTTAGTGAGGCGAACATAACTCTAGACCTTACAAATCCTGTTGAAAAGAATCTTCGT